TACTTCATCAAATGTTTGTCAAACTAAATGGGCCAAACTTAACGCAGTGTATGCAGGTATAGCATGTTACCTTCTGCGAGACTCACACCTTCATAGCCTATATTTTTAGAAAGGGTACTTTAGGTGAGAAGCTTCCAGACTCACAATGTCTCTTAGAATATCAACTCAAAGTTGTGATTAAGACGAAAGAAACCCTGCCCTGTTCAGTGGAGCTAAACAGTGCAGATCAGCAAGTCATGTGGAAAGGGAAGCTAGTTTATTTACAATGACCAATTAACGTGGTAATTATTATTTTCCTTACTTGGTGAGAGTGTGGGTAAGCCTACTGGAAGGGATTTCAAGTTAATTTAACTTAAGTGAGTAAAATTTCGATAGTCTTCACTAGTGAAGATTAGGGGAATTTAGGCCAAAGCACCCTTGTTAGCTGTTAGCTATGTGGATGAATTTATGCTGGATGATTAGGGCTGCACCTTCTTTTGAATAAGTTTTATTTGTTTGATGAAATTTGTTATTCTGGAATACTGAAAGACTAGAATGTTGCTGTCTATTGAAAATTAAATTTAACGATTATTATAAAGAGTAATTTCTTTTTTTCTTTAGTATTATTTTTTTAAATTCCTAGCTTACTATGTATATAATTTGTGTGATGACTATATAGTGGAATAGAAAGTCTTCATTTATTTTCTTTCTCTTTTAAAATCTGGGCAATTATAAGAGAAAAGCATTTCAGGGTGTCATTTCCAGGGATGTAGCTCACTGGTAGAAAGCGTCCAAGTTCCTGGGTTCAATTCCTAGTACTGAAGGAAAAAAACCAAATGGTATTTGATTCTGTAACTCAAAGGAGCATCAATTTTTAAAAAGTGAGGACTTTCTCTATATTTTGTTCATCTTCGGAAGAGTCACTGATTATGAAAGGGTTACAAAAGTGAATATGGTATTGTCTTTATAAAATTGCTTGAATTATTCAATAGATAGACATAGATAATATAATGGAAATCATACATTATCCTATTCTTTAAATTTAGTATAGCCTAGACTAACATAGCAGAACACTGGCAGAGGGGGCACATAGCAGCGGCATCATTTTACTAGGTTCACTCCAGCAAGTTGTTTGGTAACGCCTGCTCGTGAGGATCAGCAGCTCTGGAAAGTATAAATATCAGTAAAGGAGGCCCAGGGACGCTTTCTCCTCCTCCCTAGGCCCTCCGTAGGTTCAGCTTGATCCCGAGGGCAGTCTCACTGCCACCCGCTCCTGCCTGTTTTGCACATCAACGTCACAGGATCACAGGAAACAAGCCCCGGATATGCTAGAACATTCCTGGCAGTTTGTACATTTTGTTTCACACCCTGTGCCGAAAACAGCAAACAAACCTCAAGATTACACACGATCTTACTAACAAGTTTAGAGACTTTGGATTTTTGACTTCCTGCCTGCAGGAAGGAAATGACAGTTGGAAGCATGACAAACAGGTGTTCCGCTGGGCAGAATGATATCTTCTGCTCACTGAAATAAAATTCACCGCATCAACACTCCTAGTGGAAGTGAGTTCTGACCACAAGACTCAGTCTTTCCACTGCGGATCCAGCTTCACAAAATCAAATCTGTATTTTTTTTCTACCGGGAAGTTCTTAAACCTAGCATTAAAGTGCAGACTAAGGCACAGGGTTCTTTGAATCGATATTGGACTAACCCAAGCAAAGAATTTGGGTGGTTTGGAAACGTTCCCTCCATATCCTTCCAGTTATTGGCAGTGTGGCTGTGTGGCAAATTCGTGAGGGAACTTAGAAGGGAAGGAATCAGGACTGCAGTAAGCTGGCCCCAGCTGAAGGGTAGGTGACTTTATAACCTCTTTCAATTTCCCTTCGTCTTTATCTCAAACTCAGACTCTGGCATTATTTCCTTCCAGTAGCTTAATGTTGGCATAATGGCATTCTTTTTCTTTGCCAAGCTAGCTAGTTGCTCTGCCAATCTGTTAGGTATAATTCAGTCAAATGACGCTGTGAAAGAGCTGAAGATTGAAATCATGGAAGGCTGTGCCTTGGACCAGACAAATATCATGGAGCCCTTCCCAGACTCCTTTGTTAAGGGCTCAAATCCATCATGGAATATGGAGTTTTGAGGGGATACAGATTGGAAATGATTGAGAAAGATATGGTGGCATTGGCATCTGTATGGTCTTTTTAAATACTTGGAAAGAGGCGTAGTCTTTTCTCCAGTATTTGTAATGAGATCAGTCAATGCTGCAGTCCAGAGGGAGTTTGTCTTTTCTCTCTTATTTTGGGACTAAAAGGAGCTATGTTTGTGGCAAAAGGAGATGTGGTGGCTGTAACTGGCACACAGCCCTGCAAGGGTACAGGGGACCAAGGGAGGAAATGAGGGGCTGGGCGAGTAGATTGTTTTGGGACATACAGTACATGGTCTCCCCTGAAGTGTTAGTGGGAGAGACAGTGTTCCCATGGAGTCAAGGGCCGGTAGCTGTTATTAAAACCCTGCACGCCCCTGCCTTAGACTTCATTTCTTCATCCATTCCTTCTATGAATACGTAGTAAGGCCACTTTGTGTGCTAGATATGGTGCTGAGAATGGATGGGTTCAAATGCCCATTACAAAAAAGAAAGAGAAGAGTGGAGGGAGGAGAGGGGAGGGAAGGAAATGCTCAGCCGGGAAATCACTATTCCCCCAGGTCTTCTGCTTGCTGCTGGCTGTTTTGCTGCTCTTTAGTACCACTATGAAAAGGCTGAATGGAAGTGAAAGTTATTTATCTGGCCCCTGCTTACGGAAAAGCAAGGGAAAATAAACTGGTGAAGGAAGGATTTAAAAAGTAGAGCCTGAAATTTTTAAAGTCTCAGTTACTATTTAAATCGAATTTGCTTAGTCTAAAAGCTTTTCTAATTTTTATGCCTGTGAAATATTCAAACTATGGCAATGTTTATTTTTGTGTGTTTGTTCCTTTTCTGTTTTTTTTTTCTCCTTTTGGCAACGTTTATGATAGCTAAAAATCCCCTTCACTCCACCTCCCAACACCCAGAACAGCACTGTTAACAGTTTGAGGAGTAGTTTTCTGGATTTGCAAATTTACATATAAATCTACAATATTTTGAAACCAAACGGCATTCATATTGTTATGCATAGCATCTGTATTCGTCTCTCCTCTCCACATCCACATAAATCAACCATCTATCTAGCTATCTAGCTATCATGAGCATTCTTACAACTGTTTTGCAAAGGAAAGCTCATGGTCATACACAGAGAGGATTGCCGTAGCAATATATAGATATTGCTTTGAGTTCACAGAAAGATGAGTACAGGTCCACAGGCACCTCCTCTGAGAAGCTTTCTCTGATTCGCTTCACTTTGATTTTTTAAAATCCACTGTTTTCCTCTGAATCATCTAATATGTTCACATGTTGTTTTCAAACATTTGGCCGCTGCTGGTGAACATACTCCTTTGTTTGTTTGTGTTTTACTCAAGCCTTTTCATTGCAAAGAACAATGAGTCCCTTTAAGAGCTGGCAGAGTCAATGACTGAGGCCCCTGTGGAAACTGGTCTTCCATGGGATGCTTGCTTCTCCCTGTCAGTCCCTTCCAACATGTCACTCTCCAGCTCAGCATCATCACTCTGCTCACGTTTCTGTTCCTTTGCTGTCTGGCTTCTCTCCATCCATCCATCCATCCATCCACCCCCTCTCATTCATTCTGTTCACTCATCGTGTACTTCCTGACTACTGATAACACGCCAGAGATTGTCGTAGCACCTCCAGTTTGGCTTGCTCTAATTCTAATCCAAATCAGGCCCTTCCTTCACTCTCCTTACTGTTTCTTAGCTCAGTTCCTATGGGTGAGATCTGACCAGCTCAGTTGTTACCAAGCCTTATGTTGATAGCTGGACATGCCGTGGTCCAAGCACAGTTGCTGTCTTTTAGATCTTTGATACACTTTCAGATGAGGCAGATGTAGCTGGAGAAGGAGGATGGGCTGGCAGGAATGCAGGGCCCTTCATTCACAGCCCTAATCAGGTCTTACGATGCCTTTGGTCAGCTCCCACGGGGACTGTGCTGAGCCACACACAGGAACTGTCCAGTAGACAGCGTCAGCACGGCCAGTCCTCCTGGCACCTGTCTCCCATCCATGTCACTGACTTTCCTTTCCAAATGATCAAATGATTTGTTTTTTCACTGTCTGCCATCCTCCCCTCCCCAAATCCTTCATGCAATAGGAGGATTACTATATATAAGTCTTCTAACATCACTTTTCCTACTTCCTGCTATGCCATCGCAGGTTCCTGTGAGCCGCTGACACCTACCTGAATATTTTTGCAATCAGAAATGTCACCAACAACTCTATCCATCTCGACTGTCCTTATCCTACCTTTCCTTTTCCTCAGCTCAGAGATGAAATTCTCCCATATGTTACTATGGCGTTTAGCTTATACTCTTGACCTTTGTCCCTTTTTGTTGTTTATAGGTTTGTTTTTGTCGTTGGACTGTGACCATTCTCAGGAACCTCTGTCATTATTTATACATCTTCACACCCTTAGATCTAGTAAAGACAGCGTGCACCATGGGTACTCAAATATATTTTTTGAAGAAAGGAGTTGTGAACACAGTTGTTGTCTTTTAAATATCTGATTTGCTTTAAGACTAGCTACGGGTACCTCTTAATGCATTAATCCTGATAACAGGTTTCTAATATTGTAGTTTCAGTTTCCTGACCAGTGAAATAAAAACAACATTAATCTGTGTTAGATGGAACCAATGTGTAATAATGGATAAATATGGTAAGTATCAGGCATGATATCAGGAGGTTGACAAAGTGACCCCAACTCCTGTTTTAAGCACTTTGAAGAAAAATGAGGGGTAGTTTTCCCAAGATGAAGTCTCTGGGTTTGAATCTCCCTGTTTGCCTGAATTTGCTTCAACATAAAAATAGAGGATTAGGTTATGTTTCCTTTCCCTCTTTAACTCTCAAATTATATTATTCCAACAGTTCTACTTGACAAAAGTTGAATATTATATAAATGCTTTTGTGCTAAAATTAGCAATCAACACTACATTTAAAAAGCCTCTTTTTAAAAACAGTATTCCAAGACATGCTTTAGAGTTCCTTTGATCTCTGATAAGGGATGTGCCAATACATCCTGGAAGTGACCACTTGCGCAGTGGCCCTGTTTCTTTAAGGGGCCATGGTTGTTAAGTTAGAAGATCATCAGACCATGTGAGATCAATAAAAGAGTAAAGTCACCGGTTAGTGATTCCAGGGCGAGGAACCTGAACCTCGTTCAGTATCTGCGTGCCTTCGTGCTGCTCCCAACCAAAGGGAGAGACCGCTGGATCCCCAGCAGCTGGCTGTTCCTCAGGATGATTTCTGGAAAAATAATCAAGCTCGTGGTGTTTGAGCTTCTTGAGTTTGCTGCTTTCTCCACCCCCACTCTTGTCACCATGGAACAGTTTGCCACTGCCTACCACAGGGCAAAGAATATATCCGAGAGAACACGCTATTGGCTGATCATCTCCTGTTCTATTGCCTACGTGGCTGTAGTGACTCTGTTGATTTGGGTTCCCGTAAAAGTTCTCTTCTACAAGAAACATCATCTTTACAAAAAAATTACTGGATGGTAAGTAAAAGAAGTCTTTAGCAGGAAAATCCCTGTTGTGCTTTCAGATAATTTCTAATGTGCTTTGTTAGACGCAGGTGTGCATATTACAAAAGTGTAACTAAGACAAGATGAATGGTGAGTTTACAATCGCCGCTTCTGTATTGTACTGATATTATAATGTCTTCCACGTTTTCTATGATCATTTTTCTAAGCAGTAACAAATTACATGTGTTAATAAGACTTGTGTGAGTTGAGTCCCTGAAATCCTATGCTGTGAACATTGCTCCTACTTTCTCTGTACACTAAATTGCATAAAGTTACCAGGGTTAACTTACACAAATCCTAATACTGAGGTTATAATGTAGAATTTTACTTTGGTGTAAAACTGAAAGTAGTATCTGTCTTTAAATGTTTACATTGCATTTTGTAGATCTAAGGCACCATTTGATCATTAACCAGGTGAGTATTGTAAGCGATTGGTTTGTTTACTTAGATTTTAAGAAATACGTCTTCACTATGTTGGTAAATTCTATTGCTCTTGTAGTGAGAAAGTACTTTTTCAATGACAATAGAGACACATTTTGGTTTTTTTCCCGGTACTGGGGATTGAACTCAGGACCTTGAGCTTGCAAGGCAGGCACGGGACCACTGAGCTACATCCCTGGCCCAATAGAGTCACATTTTAAAGAAATCAAGTTGTTTTAGAAATCAAGCTCTAACTTTGGTTTAACTAGCAGTTTTGCAGTCCTCATCTGTGTAAATGTATTGAGAACAAATAATCCCCGATGCCAATATATTTTTTCCTTTAAATCATCAGATCTGATATCTTACTCTTTGATAAGTTAAATTTTCTTTCCCTTCCTTCCCTTCTTTCCTTTCTTCTTTTTTTTTTTTTTCTAGAACCTGGCGCTGAACCCAAGGTGTTCACACTAAGCTACACGCCCAGCCCCTTCTGTACTTTTTATTTTGAAACAGAGTCTCACTAAGTTGCTAAGTGGCCCAGGCTAGGCTTGAACTTGTGACCCCCCTGCCTCAGCCTCCTAGAGGGCTGGGCCAGCTAAACTCTTTTTCCCAGTGATCTTTTATTTTAAAGTTGAACAACACAGAGCGCGCTTGAGAAACAAGAAGTTGAGAATTCAAACATAAGAAAAGTTAGAAATGTATGAATAATACATAAAGAGAATAGTTAGAAACCTTTCTGGGAAGATGTTGGAAGGAAGAGGGCAAATACAGATGGACTTTGTGAAGAAAGCTTTGGGTACCAAGACTGGAGGCGGTCCCCTGAGACTTTCCAGAGGATTTCTCTCTTTTGCAAGGGTGGCTTCTAATATGTCCAGAAGCAAACATTTTGTAGTTGGCACTGCTTTTATTAGTGGCCATAGAGAACTTCCCATCTTGGCTAGATCCCTGGGGTCGCCTCAGGACCTGGAATGGGCCCTCTCCGCTCGCCCCCTGTAGGAGCAATGCTTAGATTGTCCAAGACTCTGGTTGGACTAGAAATTGAGGGAATGGTGGAAGGTCCAAATGACAGCAAAGGTAAACCAACAGGAAGCTGGCCTACTACATGCCAAGAAAGAGATCTTAGGTTTATTGGAGATGTTTTCATTGGCTCAGATCCCTAGGAGTTTGGCTGTGATTCAGGCCCAAATCTTTCCCATATCACCTATTATTATTAAGCTATAATTGCAGATTATTTATTACAGGGAAGAGCTTCATACAGGATTTCATTTAATTCTATACCACCTCATATAATGATTTAACTGCATGAAGCAGGTCTTTTAACGAATTTATCGTTACTATTTCCAAGAGGAACATGATTTGAGAAGTTGACCAACTTGCTCAAAGAAGGTCAACTAGGGAGTGAAAGAACCGCACTTTGGACTTAGATCTCTCTCTCTGATACTTCAAACCACTACTCTAGACAAGCTCTTTGAAGGACAAGGTCCCAATCTCCTGGGCCGATTGAGATTAAGGGTATGTTACACTCCCCGGGCAATGTTATAACCTAGTGGCTTCTGCTGTCTACAGGTTTCATTCTGAACATCTAGTCTGGGCACCACGCCAGTGCTAAAATAAAGTGTCTTGATTTGTCACCATAATTATGACCTTCAGTGATTTCTTTTGGGAAATCGTCACCTAGCCTTCAGTTTCTGTTTGTGGGAGTGGCTGGTCGTAAATATTTTAGTTTCAGTCAATGGACAGTTTATCTATAATTTCACTGAACTATGAAACTATTCGGGGCCTCATTCAGGAGCTTATCAGCTTATCATGGAGTTATCTTTTAGTGGCATGAAGAGAAGGAACTGAACACGACTGAACATTATTCTGGGAACTTTATACATTCTATGCTTGCTATTAAATGTGAACTTTATGGCAACCCAGTAAAGTATAGGTTCTAATGTTCTCATGTTGTAAATGAAGAAACAGAAACTTAAAGAAGTGATTGACTTTGTTGAGTGATAAGGCTACTAAGCAGTCGACTTGGGATTTGTAAGCTCAGCTCTGTCTGATTCCATGCGGTTTTCTCTATCTCCTGTTATTTCTCCCCTATTCTTTCTCCCCTATCCTTTCTGAATTTGAACGCTAAGGATATTTCAAGAAAAATAGAATTCTTTTAATGCCATTAGGCTACTTTTCTCCCAAAGATATGTATCTTGCTATTATTTATAGACGATTCCCATGTATCTGTAGTTGGATGTTAAATATGGTAATATGCAGGGTGTCGAATCTTAATTGTTCAATGAAGATGATACAGAAATCAGCGCTACTGTAGAAAGTAGGAATTGAGGAGAGGAATTAGGTAGCCATGGTGGCTCACACCTGTAATCCCGGCACTTTCGGAAGCCGAGACAGGATGAGTACAAGTTTGTGTCCTGCCTGAGCAACTTAGTGAGACCCTATTTTAAAAAAAATCAAAAAGGCTGGGGATGAAGCTCAGTGTGCAGGCCCTGGATTCGATTTCCAGTACTGAAAGAGTTATTTTTGAAGGCTAATTAGATACAGAGTTGTTTATGTGAAATGTTACACATCCTTAACATTCACAGACTGAATGTTGATGATTCTACTTTGGAGCCTCCTTGAAGGCCCACAGTGGCATCATGAGCTCCCTGAGGCTGGTCTTCGGAGAGAGAGGGAGCTGAGGGCTGGTGCAGAGTTTGTCTTGGGACTACAACTAAGAAAGAGAAGCCCTGGGTTCGAATCCCAGCTTCGACACTTACATGAATTACTTAAATTCTTTGAGCTTCAGTTTTCCCATGAGCAAAACAAGGACACTCTAGTGTCTTTCGTGGAGTATTGGTGTAAGGAACTGCATAACATCTTTCTAGCATAGTGGCTAGCAGGTAGTAAGCACCTAATGAATATTAGTATGGTCACTTTAGGCTGAATTGATTATTTTCACTTAAAATGTGATCTTGTTTAATCTTTGGAATGACTGAGAAACGGTAGGTGTGCTGATAAAATTGACACCACTGAATAAAAGTAGGTGCTGGTAGTGATATTCCTTGATTTTGGAGAATTTTGTAGGACTCTTATCTTTTGAAAACAATGAAGGTCAATACAGGGACATCATTAATATCTTATAAAATGTTTCACATTTACACTGTGTTTTTATGTCTGCTTGTCTCTGTGACTTGCATAAGAGTGCTGTGAAGTTGACTGAGTGGGTATAACTCTCATTTTATAAGGGAAGAATCCATTTCACAGAGTTTAAGACATGCCCTACATCAACAGTACAACCTGAACTTTAATTCGGTGCTCGCTTGTTAAACACTTTCTCATTCTTTTAGAATTATTGTTCCTTTTTAGGGTTTCCTGGCACAATTCATAATGGACTAGGGAGATGCTGTGGGGAATTAAGAAAAGCTACTTACACAAACACCAAAGTGTCCATTCCAATAAAGAGAGGACCAGCATGTGAACCACTGAGCTGCAAGGCCAGCCTGCCACTGGAGAAGCCACACTGTGGCAGGATAGTCATGCAGGATTTGTGGGGGCTCCCAGAATGTCCTGGGGTCCAGAGCTGTGTTTCAGGAACTCTTTTACGTCCTTCTGAGTACAGCTTTAGACTATGACAGGCCAGGAATCCAAGGCACTTCCAACTTCGAAAGATTCCAGTATTTTGGACTCTGTTTTACTGGCTTAAGTTGTTAATATGTTGCATAAGATTTTGCTATTGATCTGTGTTAAGTGGTGGTTAATAGTAATAGCAAATGTAGTCATGGTAAAATAAGAACAAATATTTATGGATCATTTCTTACACATAATCCTAAACAATTATCTGTATTATTTTAGTTAATCCTTTAATGTTTACATATAAAGGTATAGTTCTAGTTCCTATGTTGCAAGTGGAACAAATCAAGGCATAGGAGTTTCAAGATCACTCAGCCAAATAGTAACTGAGGCAGGATTCCCCTGAGGGCATCTGTCCCCAGAGCCTGGTCTCTTGAGCACCATACTATCCCTAGGTAGTGTGAAATTAGTCAAGATGCACAAAATAGAGCCCACTCTTCTGAGAATCTCGAGAGAGGACACTGGTCCGATAGCATAAATTGGCTGTCTCCCTCTTGTACCCTCAGCATCAGAGCATCATCATTGTGTCATACTCAGTGGCAGGTCTCCTCTGCTTTGTCCCACCCTATCCTACAAATCAGCAAGAATGTACCTTTGCTTTTTTCTTCCCACCATAAGCAGCGAGTCCCCGTATTCCATTGCTGCTTCTCTCTGCACGGGCTCCCTGTTCTTCAGGACTGCTTACCGCACCCAGTTAGGCCTGTATTTCCAGGGCGGCCTACATTTGAGCTTCTGGTGTGGTTCCCTAACTTTCTGCAGATTCAAACCCAGTGTTAGCCCTCCTCTCTTCTCCCTCAACACACCAGTGAGTTTGACCATGGCCAGGGCTCTGCCCAGTGCTCCATGACTTCCCCTTTGGGTTGCTCTTTGAGCACTTCGTCTACACCTGCACTTCTGTGATGGTGACTCCCAACCCCATGCCTCAGTGAGTGGCTTTTCTGCACTTG